GACCCTGGGAATATGTCACCCATGCTAACGTCCTGTCTTGCTCTGTTTCCTGGTCTACCATGACGTGAACAGCCCATGCCACATGTTCCTGCCACCACGAACTGAGTTGATGGACCATTCCTCCTTGAACTTGCTTCCGCCAGACATTTTGTCACAGTGACACAAAAGCAACAGGCTTTTGGTGGGTCCTAAAAGTTTCCCTAAGGAGTGTAATGGTCGGTCCTAAGATTGAAGAGCTTGAGAAATGCTGTACCAGATCGTGTACTTCCTACAGTGAAAACAGCACTGATGGATGTTATGTCTGCTTCTACGTGGGGAAGCCAGGCTAAACCACAGCTTCAGGGTGAGAGTATGGCACACAACAGTGAGGCACTCTGCCAACACACAGAAAACCTCCAACCTGGTAAGAAGGAGGGCGGGAGTAGCTGTGACCAGGGCAAGTTTGCTCAGTGCCTTAAAACAATAAACAAAAAACAAAACCCCCACTATTTTCTAAATACATACTTGGAAAAAGAAGTCAACTTGATCCAAAGAGAGGGGATGAGGTGTACTAGTTAATTTCCTTATCACTGTGACTAAATAAGGCCTTTATTTCAGCTTACAGTTTATCATGGTAAGAGATGACAGCCTATGTGGTTGGTCACATTGTGGCCATGGGTTAGAGAGATGCTAGTGTTCCCTCACTTTCTCCTGTTTATACTGTAGGATCCCTGCCCAAGGAATGGTACTCTTCACAGTCAGGGTGGGTCTTCCCTCAGTTAAACAAGCCAGAAACTCCCTCACAGACATGCCCAGGGGTTTGTCTCTTAGGTGATTCTCGATTCTGTCAAGTTGACAATCAGTACTAACCATCATTTTTAAGTACATTATATAAAAATGTTAATGTAAAAGGAATTATTATTACAAGCTGTAAACCTTAAGTACCAGAAACTACGCCAGAAAAAAAGATGAAAGCAAACCAAACAGCTGCTTATTTTAAAAACACACCTAAAATAAGCACTGGGATGATGCCATTAAAATCATCTAAACAGCTATCTGCAGGGGAGAGAGGAAGCTGGGTACAGGGTCAGGGAGGAGTGAAGCTCTTGAGTGGACTTTGTCTGACATATTCAATCCTGGAACACTGTGCTTTTACATTAATTTATACACCATCAGAGCAGAGAACAACATAAAAGAGGCCATCTTTGTGATTATTCCAGTTGGTGGATCAACTGAAGAGGGCCGAGGTCCGACCTCAGCAATGTGCCCTGTGACTGGATTTTCCTCCCAGGAGACCTGCTAAGGACAGAAGGACACAACAAAAAGGCAGAACACTCACTCAAACTATTTCAGGAATCATTTTTCCAGAGCATGTTGGTATCTTCATTCTGACAGGAATAGATGTGTACTGCGGGATTAGAGCAAGTGGGACAGTGTGTTGTTTCCAATTTTATCACTCTGGCAGCACCGTGACCCGAGATGCTGAGTGTAGTAGGGCAAGGGCCAACAGAGCCAAGCCGAGAGAATCATGGTCATGAGTTTAAACAAACATCAGAATGGGACGTGGGGGTGTAGCCCAGTGGCAGACCATCTGCCTAGAATGTGTAAGGTCACAGGTTTGGTCCCTAGCACTGCAAACAAACATTTGTACATACATCAATGTGATACCACAATGCATTTTATATTTAAAAAATAGTTTCCTAGCTCTGTTGAAAATGCCCCATATCAGACCCTGACTCAGGAATAAAAGGTGACCCCCAAACCCAGACCATGGTCCTGAAGGACTCTTTCCTAGAAGAAGCATCGATTGGATGGGGATGATTTTAGTAATACTCAAATCTTTGGTGGGAAGTGATACTGTGATTGTGTTTTGTGAGGAGCAGTCAGTGCACTGTAGATGCAGCTAGAAAGTGGTGCCTGGCGGGCTGGAGAGATGGCTCAGCAGTTAAGAACACTGGTTGTTCTTGGAGAGGATCTGGGTTCGAATCCCAGCACCCACATGGCAGCTAACAACTGTCCATAACTCCAGTCTCAGGGGATCCCACAGCCTCTTCTGACCTCTGCGGGCATTGCACGACAAGGGTGCACTTACCTACATGCAGGCAATACACGCATACATATAAAGTAAATTTTTAAAAAAGTGGCGCCTGGCATTTAAAAATATTATTATTATTAGTGTTAGTAACAACAGTATTTGCAGTGCTTGGGATGCAATGCATGCTGGGCAACTGCTCTATTACTGAGCTATACACCAGTCTGAAAGCTACTCCTGGCCCACATCTAGTCCTTATGCTTTATCTATCCAGTACAGATTTGCTTTTAATTTGTGAGTTGGAGATAGTCCAGAAAGGTATACTAACAAACATTCCAGAAAGGGGGACAAGGAAGTAGCAGGGGAGAGGCGCTTGCCTTAGTGATCATAGCCCTAGTGGTGTCCTACTTTTAGTAACTTTGCTCTCCTGGGAGAAGGCACAGGTTTCTTTTGTGATAAAGGCTCAGTTTGGACTCCACACAGGTACTGTGCTGGGTGCTGCTGCATGTAATTTTATTGAATCCTCTTTAAAATCACTTTTTTTTTTTCCTTTCCATTTTGGGGATTTTGAGACAGGAACTCTTTTTAAAATCTTTTTTGATTTATTATTTAGCATGTGTGTGAGTGTTCTCCCTGCATGTATGTGTATCGTGTATGCAATGCCCACCGAGATCAGAAGAGGGTGTCAGATCCCCTGGAACTGGAGTTATGGATGGTTGTTGGCTGCCATGTGGGTGCTGGGAACTGGGGTCCTCTGCAAGAGCAGCTAGTGCTCTTAACCACTGAGCCATCTCTCCAGCCAGAGAGACAGGTACTCTTCATGTAGCCCAGGCTAGCTCTGAACTGAATGTTCCTGACTTAACCTCTGGAAGTGCTGGTATTATAGGTGGGTGCCACCTCACCCAGCTGTCCTACAATGACTTTTTTAAAAGGTCTCATGTAGCCCAGGCTGGCCTTGAATACACTATGTAGCCAAGGAGTACCTTGACCTTCTGATCATCCTGCCTCCACCTCCTCAGTGCTGGGATTATAGGCAAGTACCACATTGCTCCCACAGTCACCTTTATCTTCCATCAGCAGCAGCATTTTCAAGCATGAGAAGCAGAGTTCTGAGAGGCTGTTCTGAGAGGTCACCTAACTTATTCTAGGCACAGCCTGCAGACTCAGAGTCAGGACCTGAATCAGGTCTGCATAGTATGGGAAAGGCCTGCTGCCCGGAACACTCTGACACCTGGCGGACAGCTCTGTGACCACACTGGACTTCAAGTCACAAATGTGCTTTGGTGAGATGAAGATCCGGCCGGGTAGTATGAAGAGGAAGGGAGGAGGTGGTGGCCAGTGGGAGTGGGAGCTTTGTGGACAGCTTTTCTACCAAGTTCTCAGATGCTTCCTGGGAACCAGCAAAGTGGGAGCCAGACCAAGTCTCACCCTTGTGGGGTCCAGAGGAGCCAGAGCTGGGGTGGGTAGATCTATCAGAGCCTGTAGTCACCACCTGACTGAGCTGTGAAGGCAGCCAACCAGGAAGCAGGTGTGTGAATAGTTTAGTGTTGGATCCAATGATATCTGGAGCAAAGTTCACCCCAGCTCGTTTAACGGCTGCCTTCCTCACACTGCCTTTCCCAGTTAGCCCTGGGTGAATGCCTCTTGCCAGCATGGCTGTAATTAACACTGCTCTACAACCAAATCAAACACTCTGGGAGGAGAAATGGGGCAAGGTTAGGGGCTCTGGGGTTAGAGTACAAGTCCTCCTACTGGCGCACCTCACAGGGCCCCTGGGAGCTCGCCTCCCTCTGCACCCACCTTCCCCAGCCTGTCTGCTCCACAGGCCTAAAGCCCCATGTGGTACCTCCACATGGTGCTAGGTCAGCTCTTTACAGGCTGGATCCTGTTCCCCTTGATGTCCCTGAGGCCAGCTAGGCATAGCAGCATTAACCAGGAGGATGGACCAGAGGGAAAATAAACAAGAAGAGGGCGTAGAAAGAAGATAAACTAGAACGGAGCCAGGGGAAGGGCTGTAAGGAAGGCAGACAGGCTCAAAGCCAAGGGCCGACATCTCAAGACTGGGGCTGGTGTTAGCAAATGGAAACCAAGGACTAGGCACTTTGAGGCACTTCATGATGGGCAGTCTCTGACACCTAAGGTAGAATGAGCAGGAAGCTGTGATGGCTATTTCCTACCCAGTGCTGCAGCATAAGCCAGTGCTAGGCAATCACTCTACCACTGAGCAACATCCCCAGCCCTCACTGCCTTTTCAAATTGAATTATGTGGACCTTCAGGAGCTTTTAAAAAGCTTCCTCTTACCCAGCAGCTTCTCCAGGCTCTTCCTTTTTCTTCTGCCTGGCATCTTTCTGTTACCTACAGTACCTGTCCTATATGTAACAAAGCACTGCTGGTTTAGTCAATGCGGAAGGAAGGCAAAAAGAACTCCAGATGACACACTGTTCATGGCAGACAGCTCTAGAGTTGACTTCCTGCAAGCTAACAATGTCCTTGAGCCTCTCTCTAAGGAAAGTAAGGGTGAGCCATAACCCAGTGGCAGGCTGGGGCACATGAAAGGAAGGCTTCTCTATACAACTCACCCCTGAAGTGCCTGTCCTATCACAGAAACTGAACCACAATTAGAACATAGCCAGGGAGCCAGAGACCAGATGCCAATGCCTGTGGCCATGGGGACCACCAAGCTGTGCCCAGATGCTCTGCTAGCCCTCAGTCTGGATTGCTTTCTTAGTTCCACCAGACCAAACTGTAAAGGGTGACTGTCAGTTTAAAGATGCAGATGTGAGTGCACAAAAGAACATGAACATTTAAAGCTCTGGACCACTAGGGCAACATCTCTACACAGAACGGGCTGCTCCCAGTTCCACTATGGATACTGCATCCCTAAAAAGAGCTGGAACCCTGTGAAGAAGAATGTACCACTATCTATGTCATCATGACACTGCACATTTTCCATTCGCTCATGTTTGAAACAGGCTGGATAAACCCCACCTGTCTCCCTGGAGACCTGGAGCCGCCGGCCATTGCAGAAGGCACCCTGGCCCCTCCGGCCGGTATACAGCCGCTCCTCTGTGCAGTGATGAATCACTCCGAATTCCAGCTGCAGGGGACAGGAAGAAAGCAAGGCACATCACTCTTTGACACAGAAAATAACAGAAATTCAAAGATGAAGGCTCTGCTTGGTGCTGGCGCTAGTACTATAATATGACAATGAGACAGAAACGGCCTTTCAAAATGGAATGGGCGGTGGGGGGGACCCACATTTCAAAACTACATCTGGGGCCAGAGGATGGCACAGTGCTTAAGAGCACTTGTTGCTCGTGCAGAGGATCCAGGTTTGATTTCCAGCACCTACTCAGCAGCTCACAACCACCTGTGACTCCAGGTCACACACATCTTCTGGCCTTTGCAGGCACCAGGCATGCATGTGAGATACACACGCACACACACACACACACACACACACACACACACACACACACACGTAGGCAAACACTCATACACATAAAATAAAAATCAATCATCCAAACTACACCTGGACATGAAAGCAAGCTTTCTTTTCTTAGACAACCATATAAAAATATATTATCACAATAAAGCTCAGTGAAAAGGTTTCAGTCTTTAAAACAGCCTCTTTTTATTTATTTCCCTCTCTTTTTACTAGGGCAATAAGGCTAATTGTGACTCTAAGCCAACCCCCTAAGAACCTTCCAGGTTCTTTGAAGAACTGAGAACACATCCAGAGAGTCAACAGAACCAGGGAACCCACAGACAGTCCCCAGGGAGCAGACTACTGGCCAGAGGGGGACCCTGGGCAGGCAGAACCAACTGTAGCCTCACCTGGGTGACAGCATCAGACAAAACCTCTCAATACAAAGTAACAAGAGGAAGGGGTCAATAAGGAACTAATGCACCCTCACACCCAAGCACCCTTGTCTCCTGTCAGATTTTCACCACCTAAGGTTCACATGCATTTGCTTGGTATCAGGATCCACGTGCCAGTGCCTCTCCTTCAGGTCTTAGACATCTTAGCAAAGTCTTGGGTAAACCTGAGTCACCCCCAAATGGGTGCCAAATCTATAGGTTTATTTCTGGAGGGGACCATTCAGTCAAATCTGATAGTGTGTGGCTCTCTAGCAATACCTAACCTACCCCTCTGTCACCCTGGCTACAGCATGATGCCAAAATACAGGTAGCACAGAACTGTATAAATCTCAGCCTGCCTATGGTGGGGCCCCAAGATCAAGGGAAATGTCCTAAGGGCAGAAGGGAAGGGTGAGGGGCTCCCCAGGTGGGGTTGTGACTAAAAGCAGTATTCCTGTGCATAATCACTACTAAAACATGGAACAGAAGTAGTCGGGGGTCTGAGGGCCTGGCTGGCCTTTATGGCCCCCAGCCTGCCTTCCGGGCAGCCCTGACTCTGGTCATGGTAACCTAGGGGCCAGGAGTGACAGCCTTCATGCTCACTGGTCTCTGTGACAACAGTGAACAGGGAAACCAGTAGCTAATCACTCCTTATCCAATTTTCAGTATTAAGATTCTTAGGGATCTCTACCACAAGTATTTTGAGATGTGTGTAAACTTCCATTTCCATGAGAGGAATGTATGATGATAGCAAGGATGGTAATGGCTGCTGTTCTAAAGAGGGGGGTATCTGCAGAGAGACATGGGAGTCCCAACCCTCCTTATATAAGAAATTAAGGTTCTTGCAAGTCTTCCTGCATGACCCTCCAACCCCTGCCTCTCCTTCAGGTCTTGTGCTACTGCTTAGTTCAGAAAGTCTCTGGGAATCCTGACAAGGCCATGTTCTCATACTAACATCCAGGAGGAAATGAAGAATTAATAGAATATTGAGATTAAAAACATTATCCCAAAATAGGAGCTCCTTTTTGTGACAAGATCACACGCTCTAGGGGTCAGATGGAGGCTCATGTGGACCATTTATTCAGAACATCACTTTCCACAGCAGCCTTGAGAAGATCACAGCAAAAACCAGAGCAAGCCTGCACATGGCAGGGGACGCCCCAAACCTACCCACTCTCAAATTAGGTCTGCAGCTGTTCACTTTCTTGGATTTGAACACTACATACTTGAACATACTAGTCATGGTTAAAATGCATAGCAAAGAGCCAACAGGAGTGCAGGGGTTGAAACCGAACAAGAAGGGCCAGGTTACCTCTTGGTGAACAGCAAATCCGATGCTAACTGCCACTGTGGGGAATCTGCAAGGGAAGACAGGATGGGTTACAGGGAATGCAGGAACACAAGCTCTCAGATACCTGTGTGGCTGCATGGTGGCCCCGCTCCAACACACAAGGACCTTTCTGCACTCTGTCTGGCTTTGGTTTTTCAAAATGACTTGCCAGTTTCACTCACTGCTTCCAAGATAAACAGACTTAGCTGGCCATGCTGTAAGATAGTCATCTTTAAAGAAAACAGCATTCTAGAAGCCATGTATGACCAATGTAATCCAACATGACCATCTAATACCCAATCAGGGACGATTTTAATAACCACATTTTTGGTTCTCAGTAACCTAAAGTAGGTGGAGACTTCTCAAAAGGTTAGCCCCCATTTGAGAGGGTATGTAGATGCCCCAGCAGGTGACATCACAAGCCCCGTACCAGAGCTGCCACACAGATGCTAGCTCTGAGTCATAGGCCACCTTCCAGCAATGCTAACACCCTCATCCTGCCTCCTGCGTGAAACTCCAGCAGCCAACAGCAGAGTGAGCCAATAGTAGAGGGGATGGTTTTAATGCCACAGTCTGTGGTTTTATTTTTGTGATTTTATTGCTGCTTCTCAAAATAATCTCTACATTATGTGAAGATCACAGGAGCTTAAAAACAGGAAGGGACAAGGAAAGACTAAGTACTATGAACTTACAGGAAAAAACTGCCAATCTAGACCAAGAACAGGATCCTGTGCAGACACCCTGAAAGGCCAGGGTAAGGCTCTGGGCTTCCTAGGTAGGTGCCTCACAGCTCTCCCTCAGCTCTGCTGGCCATGGGCTCAGGCTATGAACTGTGGCTGTGGCCTTGGTGTCCTGGGACTTCCAGGTCTGTTTCTCAGAGGACACTCTTCTCAGGTCTTTCCAGCTCCAGCTTCCCCTGAGGGCTGCAGATCAAAAATCTCTGGAGACACCAGAGCCATAGAAGACCCTAAGATGGCACATGGCCTTTCCCTGGAATGTGGCTTAGCCTACCACATCACTGTTATGAGCACCCTGGATGATAAATGACCAGAAGTGAGAGGAGTCCCATCCAGCAATACACATGGAGGGAAGGGAATATGCTTAGTGAAAGGGCAGCCTAGTGGCAGCATCGCCTCAAAAGGGTCCTTGTCCACACATGATTGAATTCTCAAGGTAGCTGTCGCCTAAAAATGGTCATGCTTAATGTGTACTCAAAAATTACTTCACAAGCATGCATACCAGGGAGGCAAACAGGGAGAACAAAGGCCCAAGAGCTGGGCACCCACTCCTGGTTCTGCTCCTTTCTTATTCAACAGGGTATGAAAGCGGCCTGTAAGGTGGGGGGAGGAGGAAAGCAGGTGCTGGCAGCGTAGAAATGTCTTCAGGGACTGGAGAGTTAAAAGACCTGTCCTCAGTCGAAGCCATGTCACCTATTGTGCCTCTGGGTCTTTGGCTACCTCTGCATGGCCGTGAACAAGTACACACAGCTTCCATACCTGCCACTGCCAGGACTTTTGTGGCTATGCTTGTAACCTCTAGCTCGGCAGCTCAGCGCCTTACCCTTATTCCCATAATTCCTGCCTGCAGTCATGAAGTTGGCTTCTGCACGGGCACCTCTCAAATCTCCCAGGCACATCCTGGCTCTGTACTCCAGCTCCACAGCGGCTACACAGCACTGACTTCCTTTCTAACCTCACTTTCTTCTAATGGGCATTTCTAAAAGGGATCTTTCTTAAATTCAACTCAATGTCTTAAACTAAACAGAAACAACTTTTTCTTTGAGACAGGTTCTCACTTTATGGCCCAGGCTGGCCTCAAACATGCAATCTCCCTGCTTCAGACTCCTGAGTGATGGGATTATACTCCCCGATGGCTTAGTCTTCATTTCTTAATGGGAAATAGATTTAAAATACATAACTACATTGACCTGAAGTTTTAATAACCATAAACAGCCTTCTAAAATAGCCTATGTATAGGCAATTAAGTTTTGAATTAAAAAAAAATACTGTAGAATATTTAAATATAGGGAAAGTTGGTCTCAAACTTGTGATTCTCTGCTCTGATCTTGGGATTATAGGCATGCACTAGCAAAAACATTTTTTTTTTTGAGATAGCTCAAGCTGGCCTTGAACTCTTTATCCTCCAGCCTCCATCTCCTGAGTATTGGGATTACTAGTGTGTGCCAGCACACTGAGCCAAAAATATTTTTAAATAAAATTTCCTTACATAGTCTCGAGAGTCACAAATGGGAAACCTTCTGAGAATATCAAGATTTTATTTATTTTTTTCTTTTTACAAGCCTAGAAACCTACTACACAGTTAATCAGTTGTCAAAACTTCTGCTTTTGAAAAGAAAGCTTAGAGGCTGGCAGTGCCCTGGAATAGCATGCTCCCAGCACCTGCTCACCTGTGCACGAAGTTGCAGGTGCCGTCGATGGGGTCGATGATCCAGGTCGGGCTGTGGGTGAGCACACACTTGGCCCCGGAGGCTGTGGCCTCTTCTGCAATGAACCTGCTGGGCAGGGGGCTCAGCCTGAGACAACGTGCCACACCTGAGGCAATCTGCCTCAAGTGGCTTTTGATCACATTGGAGAAAGGCAGCATGGGGCAGCTTTAATGATGGTTTCTCTGGGTCAAACAGGTAGTCTTGAAGAGCCCATCAGCCTGTATATCAGCGTGCCAACTACAGACTTGGAGGGATTCAGAAGGCAGAGTGGCAAGGCTGGGGATGTGACTTGTTGGGAGAGTGTACATAGCAGGCACAAGGCTCTGGGTTTGATCCCCATGACTCAAAACACTCCCAAACACCAGAATGACTCTCAATGCTTTGGAAGCACACCAGGGAAATAGAGCAAGCCAGGCAGAGAGATGCAGGAGTGCACAGCACCTGACAGATCAGAGGCAAAGCAAAACTCAGTTCCCATTTTAGTCTGGAGCTAGGAGGTGGATGAGGGGTAGCAGAGGCTGGGGAGGGAGCTGGAGGGCAAGGCAGGATCCGGGCTCCCATCCTTGCTTTCCTGCTGGCACTACCATGACCTGGGCCACAGAGGAGGAACTGTCACCTGTGGCTAACAGACATCTGCTCCACAGGCTCTGCATCTCCTTTCCCCACAGATAACTCTCTTCCCTTCCCTCCCTGGTGTCTGGCTTCTCTTTGGGAGAAAATAAGGGCAGGAACAGGGAACAGTGTGGCTATCAGGATGCTTCATGATCCTCCTCCCCTGAATGCCCATCAGAGTTCCTGTCTTCCCAGTGGCCTCCTTTACATTCCTCCTTTAGGGATACACTGGCTGTCCCCAGCCCAGGCTCCAGGATTCTCACCCCTCCTTAGTAACACAGCCCTCTGTAAATAAGCCCCCCTTAACTGCCACTGCATGAGTACGCTCTCTGTTCCATTAGAACCCGACCCAAAATACCAAGATGAACCCGTGCAAAAGAGAATGCCTGGCTTTCTTCAAATGGGTCCAGCGAATACTAGCAGCTAAGGCCAAAGACAGGGAAGCTCCTAACCTTTCCTGCCCCCTCTCCTTTCCACTTAGGATTCATGCAACACAGAGTGTCGCTCTGTGCCAGAAGGTTGCTCTCATAGTGGACCTGCTATGAGCCTGTCCTTGTGAGCACCTCCCAGAGGGGTCCCCAGCTACAGACAAGGTCATAGCTGAGGCTCATGAGGCAGTGCTGGGCACAAAGAGCATGCTGGAGCACATCCAGGATTGTCCCATGTACACTAAGGGTGGGGCCCTGAGCACAGGCTGTAGGTGAATACAGAGCCCTGCTATTTTCTACTAGGTACTTGGGCCATGTCCACATCTATGCTTGGAAAAAAGGGCATTTTTACCAAGAAGGAAAAATGAGGGGCTGGAGGGATGGCTCAGTGGTTAAGAGCACTGGCTGCTCTTGCAGAGGATCCAGGTTCAGCTCCTCCCTATAGGCTTGGCATCAGGAAGCTTGTGAATAAGGCTGACAATGTGCTACCATAAATGAAGAGATCAAAATCGAAAGCTATGTAACTGCTCTGCCCACTAGAGCAGTCATTTGCCACATGGCTGTTTAAGTTTAAATGAACTGAAATTTAAAAAATTTAAGGTATCTAATCCTTAGTTCAATTCTCATTAACTTCATGTCACATGCTTGATAGTTACATGGGGTCAGCAGATGCCATAGCAGGTGGTGCAGACAGACTCCACACCTTCCAGGGCCAGCAGCAAGGCTGTGCTCAGCTGTGCACTGAGGTAACAGCAACATTCATGAGCCCCTGAGGCAGAGTGCTGGCCACAAGACCAGCCTAGGGCTCTTTCCAGTCATAGGCTATGAACTTCACACTCTGTACGCACACAGACAATTCCAGCCCTTCCAGACAATACATTTGTGAATCTGATGAGTACATTGTATATACATGGCTATGGGCTGCCATGCCCACCCTCTTCCCTGGAGAAAACCACACATGAGCAGGCAAGGCACTGAGGATGTGAAGTGGAGCTGGCAAAGGCCAGAGAGGTTGGGTGGCTGGGTCTGCCTGCAGGAGTACACAGTTGCAGGTGGACTTGGCTGCACTGCCAATCTCCTTCTCCAGGAAACTACCTCCTCCCTGTCCTTCTGTGCCAGCCACAGCCTGGGCTCAGGGACTGGTGGCCTGACAAGCCTAGATGTAACTGCTGGTGTAAGATGTGAGGGCTAGGTGAGGCTGGGTGGAGAAGCCTGGACACCTGAGCCAAGCAATAAGATAAGTGCTTTGTGGAGAGAACTGGCCACTTAGGTGACACTGAAAGTGGCATTGGCTTGGCCACGTTTCATGGCCAAAGACTTGAGTAACACAGCCATCTTCTATAGTTAGCTGATTTCCTTTCCTAAACTTGCTTGTAAAGAAAACACACTGGACTGTAAAAACACATACAAGTAATAGGTACTTAAATGCAGTACCAGGCTGATAAAAGTAGTGAAAAGATATTCAAAAGGAAGCAGAAATCACACACAAAAAGACCACCTCCCAGGAAAGTGAGGAGAGATGTGGGATCCTTTCCTTAAAGCTGATTTCAAGAAGGAAATGGAGAGGGGACTGCTGGGTGGGGAAGGAAGAGCAATTATGTGTCTGTGGTGCTGATACTTAGACTTCATCAGGCCATGGGAACAGGAACACCTCAGCACTCCCTAGGCTTTTAGGGGACAAGGGTCTAGCAGAGCTGTTCATTCATGAGTCAAACATGGGCATGTTGAGGAAGAGGGGTATTGTGTTCCTGCTCTGAGTGACACCTTCAGACAGAAGCACTTAAAGGTGCTTGTACTGGGCCCTGAGCTCCTTCCAGCAGCTGATTTCATGCTTTAATGCTGTCTCCATCTTTTCCCACTCTCCGTCCCATCTGCTCATTTTCCCATCTGAAGATGGAAGGCATGTCCTCAGTTCCCTCCCTACTTCATTGTCTGGACCAGGGCCTCTTGCAGCTAACAGCATCTGAGCCACAGACTGTCTTTCAAGGTGCCCAAAATACTTGTTTCCATGGTAGGTGGGAGGGACGCAGAACTTTTACTTACTTAATCTGACTTTCTTCGTGTTGGAAGCTAATGTTAGAAAGGGAGAGAATATTCTACAGGTCTGCAGAGTGAGGGATGTCTACCCTGAGCAAGAAGCACATGTGGAATAAGAGACCTTCACAAAAGTCACTGGAGCAGCTACATAAAACCCACACATCAACAGAAACAAACAACGCGTCTGACTTAATTTAGAGCGCTCAAAGAACATTTCATAAGCCTATCTAATAGATAAGAAATAGCAAGTGGATAAGATAAGCCTGGCAACACGTTCTACTGCATGGTTTAACTACTTTCCTCTTTTCTTTTTTTTTTTTTTTTTTTAGGTTGTTACAAGTTGCTCTTGTAACTTTGACAGTCAAGTGCTTCCAAGACTTCTTCTTTTCTGGCTACAAACTGTTTACTCTGACAAGTAAGTCAGGACTATCTCTTTTGCCCATGAAGGAACTGACTGAAGCTATCTGGCCCCGTCTTCCCAAGCTGCAGCCCTGTGTCCACCAGCTGGCCCACAGCGGGAGTTCCAGGGCAAAGCACAGTGGGAAGATGACTGGACACAGCGTCCAACTGTGGTGGCAGGAATGGATTTTTCCCATGTCAAGGACTCTTGTTTTATGTTCTGCTTGACTCATGCATTCAACAGATACTGTTCTATGCTGGGCCCACCACAGGGTACCAGGTTAAAATGACCTCAAGGGGCAGAGGGTAGCAGGATGTACTGAGCAGTCCAAGCCACCATCCTCTTTCCTTGCTACCTGACAATCTGGGACATATCATCATGGAGGATATGGATGCCCATAGGGTTTGTATCAGTGGCAGGACCCTGATGCTGCTGGACCTCTTCAAAGCAGCTACACTTGGATCCAACTCAAAATCTCCAGCTGGAGTTTCAGAGCGTTGCATAAGGTGAGGTCCAACAGTTGGTATTGGTATCATCTCCACCGATGTTGTTAGTGCTACTAGTCAGACTACACTTGGAGAACTCCTGCTCCAATTAGTGAAAATTCTTCTCAGACACCTGAGAAGTTTTACACACTATATTTTGATGTAAAAGTATTGATTTTGAAGGAAGAGCCAGGATGGTGGATCAGAAGCAGTTCTGTAAGTAGGAGTTTAGATGGAAAAAAAGTCAAGATAAAAAGTCATCAATAGGGCCAGTGAGATGACTCAGTGGTTAAAGGTGCTTGCCACCAAGCCTTATGTCCTGATTTTGATCCCCAAAACCCACGTGATGGAAGGACAGAATTGCCTTCCCTAGGTTGTCCTCTGACCTACATATGTGCACTATGGCATGCCACCCTCCCCCACAATAAATAAAAATAAATAATAAAACATTTATTATTTTTATTTTAGTGTATGAGTGTATTGCCTGCATGTAGGTAGGTGCACCTGTGTTGTTCAATGCCCTCGGAGGTCATAAGAGGGCATCGGATCCCCTGGAATTGGAGTTACTATTGGTTGTTAGCTGCCATGTGGGTGCTGGGAAACCCAGGGTCCTATGCAAGAGTAACCAGTGCTCTTAACCAGAGTCATCTCTCCAACCCAAAAGTAAGTAACTTTTTAAAAGCCACCAATAGAGAAATAAGAGAAAGAACTACAGAGTGCAGAAATAAGACAGATGAACTATGTGCCATAAAGAAGCCACATTAAGCTGTTCACATTGAGCTAGGTCCCACCAGGGAAGTGTGGTCAAGATCTAGCACCAGACTGCGAGAACAGGGAAGACAGTTTGCGTGGCTGGAAACCCAAACAGGAGGCTGAACCAGCAAGCCAGAGAGGAGAGTGGAACATAGGAAGCACCAGAAAAGGGGTATAGAGCCCTGAAGGTGGGAGATTAGCAACACTCACCATCCCCCCCCACCCCGGCCTGGATGAGTGGGACCATGGGAAGAGTAGCAGAGGCTAAACTCGGTGTAGGAGAGGAGAGTAGAACAGGAGTCTAAGCTGAGAGACTTTCAACATGCCCCACCCCAGTCGTAGAGGATGGACACT